TTGATTTGGTGAGACTATTTAATAGCAACCATTGGAAGATTCGTACAAATCTTAATTCACTGATTAGGATATGCCACCTCAGTATTGAAAACTGTTCCTACCACGCAGAATGACTAGACAATGATGTCATCTGCTTCAGTCTGTTCACCATATATTCTCTGATTCTTAAACTCTTATTTTTCCTTAAAGTTTCCAGTCTGCTTGTAGTTATAAATTGACTGGATGTTTTCTTTAAAATCTATTATTTACATATTACATTTTGGTATTAAAGAACTAAGTATCATTTTAATATTTAGAGATTTTGTAAAGCAAGACAAAGCATGTTATTTGCCTATCTATCTATCTATCTATCTATCTATCTATCTATATGAGAGAGAGAGAGAGAGAGAGAGAGAGAGAGAGAGAGAGAGAGAGAGAGAGAGACTGATGAGACATTTAAAAGGGAAAATAATTGATTGGCATTCTAAAGGTCACTTTTCAGAATTCCTTCAAATTAGTTCTTAGCAAGGTAGGAAAATACTGTGTTAATCATAATTTGAATGGTGGATTGTACCAGAAAAGTCAAGAGGCCAACGTTATCTGACCCATCCATATCAGGAACATACTAACTAGACCTTTATTGTGTTTCAAAATTGCTCCCATTGTTTTGTCTATGATAAAGATAAATCTTGCCCTGAAATTCTGTTTTGGCAACTTTCTCACTTGTGTTTAAAGGCACTGTAGCTGCAGCTGCTGGTCTTCACCCTGGACAGTGTATTATCAAAGTAAATGGCATCAATGTCAGCAAAGAGTCACACGACAGCGTCATCGCGCACTTGACAGCCTGCAGAAAATACAGGCGTCCTATGAAGGTAAACAGCTCTTCAGTTTATCTGGATATAATGAAAACTTGCTTAGAAGGCCTGGAAGGCTGGATAAGATAGAGCTGGTGATGTTTGCCCTTTTTTTAATTTTGATTTCAAATTTACATAGCACTGTAAATATCATATTGACTTCTACCTGCATAATTAATTAAAATTATGTTTACATGGTTGCATTTTGTTCCAGCATAACTACTTGTTTAAAAATGCTCTTGGGTATTTTCGTATTCACTTTGAGAAGAGTTGATCATATTGTCAGATGTGGTGGCATGTGCCTGCAAGCCTGCGGTTCTAGCACTCAGAAGGCCAGAGCAGGAGGGTTGCTGCAAGTTGAGGTCAGCCTGGACCACACAGAGAGCTCAAGGCCATCCTGAAGTACATAGTGAGACCCTGTCTCAATAAAAAAAAAAAAATAATGAAATGAAAACCAAAAGTTTGAGCTGATGCTTATGTTTGCTTTAGAATATATGATCGTTATGTATCTATTTGAATATATGGATTATAAATACGCTTTCTTACAAGATTTCTGTGAAAATGTAAAAATTGCAGGCTCTATAGTCAGTATTTTTTGTATATATTTATTTAGGTAAGCGGATTCAGCTTTTATCAACATATACTTGCCAAAATTTGAAGCCTTATCCTTTGATGCTTAAGTGCAACATTCTTTTTTTTTTTTTTTTTTTTTTTTTTTTTTTTTTTTTTTTTTTTTTTTTTTTTTTTTTTTTTTTTTTTTTTTTTTTTTTTTTTGGTGAAACTGGAGATTGAACTCAGGTCCTTGCACTTGCCAGGAAAGTGCTTATTCCACTGAGCCACCTCCCCAGCCCCTTAAGTACAACCCAATAATAAAATTGGAGGCCTGATCTATAAGCAGGATTTATTATCTCATGATAAAAAGCAAGAAATGGACTACAGCGAAAATTTGTTTCAGTGTAATCAATTGGATGCAGAGGGGTTTTAAAGGCAAGACTTTGTATTTTTCTTGTTGTAAATAATTGCTTATCCATTCTGCTTTCTAATAAGATCAGAACTAGTACAGCAAATTGGAAATTAGAGTCCTCTGACTGATAGTAGCTCAATAAGTGTTTGTTGAACTACATGACTGAATGCATTTTCCACGGTCTTCTCAGTGTCTTCTAGTTTTCCCTTCTACCAGAATTTTAACAGGTATCCAAACTGAAATGTTTCATTTTGTACTCTGTCACTCTCCTTGCCTGCCTCATGAGAGAAGCATAGCTCCTCTTAATCCATGAATGATTTAAAAGAGCAATAAAGTAGATGGAAAAATTCACTGAGTAACATGCTCTGTCACCTGTCCATCGCAGCAAAACAGATCACCCCGTCCTGGCGACCTACAGTGGCAGTGATTATTTTTCTCTATTTATTGCATGGTCACTCCCATGAAATTGTTAATGTGGCTTTTTCTATAGCTGCCTGAGTACCTGGGTCCTCTCCGCATGGCATCCTGTTTTATTACTCCTACTATTACTGTTTGTGGTAGTATACATTTGGTAGAGGGTCTTGTATGTATTTGGTACAGGGTCTTGCTACGCAGCTTGGACTCACAGCGACCCTCCTGTCTCAGCCTCCCCAGCGGTGAGATTACAGGAGTACACCACTACACCTGGTCTTGGTGGGCAACTTGAATAATTAAACAATTGTGAAGCTTGTATGAACAAGAGAAAAAAATGAATACTACGTATTGTGTCATATTTCAGTGACAGTTTGATTTATCATCTTCTCTGGAAGAACTATAAACCTTAAATTAAAGCAATCCTTGAGGCATTTATTTGATAGACATTTCATCTCTGTTCATTCTTCAAATGAGATTGGAACTGTTGTTTTAATTAAGATATAGGATGCCTTATAATATAGAAGAATTAAAAGACATATGATTTGGAAACAAATGAGATGAAAGTGGTTTCTGTAGGTTTCATATTGGTTTAATTCAAACAGCATTAGATACATTTAAAATATGTGTGATTGTTAGGAGTACATTTAAGTATTTTGTACAGTTACAAATAATGTACTCATCAAAATATTGTCCATCCAGTATTTGTTTACCTTAAGGTATAATTTCTATCATTGTAAGATACACTTGAGGTATTTAAACAAGGCGATTTTTTGAATATATATTTGGAATATACATTTATGTGAAACTGGTCTTTGGAAGAAATTTTTTTGTTTGTTTTTTGGCAGAACTGGGGATTGAACTCAGGCTTTTGCACTTGCCAGGCAGGCACTTATTCTGCTGAGCTATCTCCCCAACCCCTGGAAGAAAACTTGAACTTGAAAGTTATTTTATTAAATTATTGAATTTCCATCCTGATGTTGATGTTTTTTCTCTTTTAAATTATATTATACTCTAGTTTGTCTTCAGATTGTATAAATCTTTTGCCTTTTTAAATTTTATTAATTTTTACAAGTTAGAGAAATAAATAAGGTGGTTAACTCTTCTTTGAAAGCAGGTTTATAGGGAGATGCACTGGAGGTAGCACTAATTCCTCAGCGGTTTCTTCCCCCCTGCTTTTTAGCAAGATTCCATACAATGGGTTTATCATAGCATTGAGAGTGCTCAGGAGGACCTCCAGAAATCGAACTCCAAAGCCCCGGGAGAGGAAGCTGGGGATGCTTTTGACTGCAAAGTCGAAGGTAGGTACCTTCTTTCCTCATTTTCTGATAGTGTCATTTTATTCTCTGTGTCTGCTTCCAATTCATAACAATCTTAATTAAGTTATGTCTTTTTGTGTGTGTGTATTTTAGGGAAAGGTCTACAGGGTGTCCAGGGTCTCACTACTAGATCTGACTCATAGTGATCCCTCTGTTTACAGCTTCTCAAGAGCTGGGAGTACAGGTGTGTGCCACCACGCCCAGTCTCAATTGCCCTCTCAGTGCACCCTGGGGTGGGGGTAGCACAGCAAGCCCGGGAATTGAACCCCTGCCCCCTGCTTGCAAGCACTTTATCAAGTTATGTCTTTAAATACTAATTTATTCAAAAAAAGGAGTTACAAACGAAGGACCATTTTATATCTCTATATTCAAAATAGTTAAAATAGATATACAGCTACTTTCTCTTCAATGAATAGAAAGATTTGTTCTAGTAGTGCTTGTGGACAGGATATCATGTCTGCATCTTGTACTGTGAATAAACACTAAGAAGACACTAATATGAAATGTATCAATTATCGAAACTGTCCTACTAATCGGTTTTGAAACTGTCTCATTGCTATTTGTTTCTCAATAAAACTATTAAAAATAAATACTAAGTTATTATTACTAACTAGGTGTCATGTCAAATATATAAGCAGCAATTTCTAGTAGCTAACATGAAATACACAAATCGTGTTAATAGGTAAATTTTAATTGATTTATTTGAGTTATCTCATGTAATCATCAAATCAGAAAATTTCATCAAATAGATATGATCCTTACTATCCCTTTTATATGGGAGGGAAAATTGAAACCTGCAAAGTTCTGGGGCTCAAACTACCTACAGGGTAGAGTGGAGATTCAAGTGCAAATTATGCCCTGCTTCTTGTTTGGGGTTGAGTGCAGCTTAGACTCTGCACTTCCAGGGTAGCAAACAGACCAAAAAAGCAGCATCCCTGGGAATATCACTGCGACTGCCCCTCTCTGGAGCTTTGGAATCAGAATTCCTGCTGCGACAGGATCTGAGTCTGATGCCCTTTAAGATTTGGGAAGCCCTAGTCTGGAAGGTCCATGATCCCTCCAGAAATTTAAAGCAAGTCTGGATTTATGGAACTTTTTCTATATTCTAACACTGACAAGAAACAGACAAACAAATAATAGGGAGAGAGAGAGAGAGAGAGAGAGAGAGAGAGAGAGAGAGAGAGAGAGAGAGAGAGAGAGTTTAATAAAGATCTTGTTATTTCTGTTTCCTCAGTAGAGCAATCCAGTAACAAATGGCTTCTCTGCCAAGGGCAGCTGGCACAATACATTATGTCTGTGTCTGAGTTACCATTTTAGACGTGTTAAACAGAAGTCATTGAGTCCTCTCTTGCATTGTCCTAGTGCCTTTCTGCTTGTATTATTGATGTGTCTATCAATTTTTAATTTGCTACTAGATTCTTCCAAACCAGTGTGGCCAGTTAATCTCCCATTTGAGCCAATATTACTGACAACATTTCTGACACTATACGTGGGGTGATTGTTTTCACCCACACCAAGCGATTTTCCTACTTTCCAGACACCAGCTGGATGTTCTGCAGTTCAGTTCTCACACTGACTGGCAGGAGTTGGCACAGGCCCATGGTGAAGGGCTCAGTCTGGCTGGACTGCCCTCTGTGCGTACGCCTTTTGCAAGTCCCAGATTTTCCCTTGGATTTCTGACCAACTGAACTTTAAGTACAGGTTTCCCTACTACAAAGGATACCAAATGAACAGCAGATGAAGAGATACTTTGAGTTTGGAAAGTTCCCAAGCACAGGCACTCTGTCCTCATGTGTTTGGAGTGTGCCTTCCTCTGGGTATGTGGATATGTGCCCCAATGTGGAAGCACTCATATCCCTGTCATCTTGGGGATCTTATGGAGGCCCATTATGTGACAAGAGTCACTTTATCTCTGACTGTGGACGAATGAGCAGAAGACTGGGGGGAAATCCAATGTACAAGCACATAGCTGATCACTGTGTCAGGTGGTTCCCACCTTGAAGCCCCACCTTGGTGCCCTCCAAGAATCACCTCATCTTTGTAAACTTAGGTATGCCTGAAAGCAGCATGGAATGAACAACAGTGGACAATCCTGTCATCTCTATTGCTCAGTGAATCATAAGGATTTTAGGAGCCTCTTTTACAGAAGATAGGCCAAGGAACAAGTGTATGTTTCTCATTGCAAAACTTCTGTACACACATCAGAGCAGAGTCACCTAGGAAGCCTGGCTTTCCCTCCATTCCTAGAAGGCTGCATGGTTGGATGCTATCATATTTTAGCAGTATCAGAAATATCTCACTTCTTTGAGCAGTAAAATGGTCATGATACTGTATAGTGTCTTCTATTCAAAATAGAAAAAGGCAGGCTGAGGAGCTAGCTCAGCAGTCGAAGCACCTATCTGGCAAGCACAAGGACCCAGGTTCCATCTTGGTATCACATGCTGTGCCAGCCCCAGAACTCTATGCGCACTGTGCTGGCCTCAAAACTGGGTGTGGGGGTGCATGCACATAGGCCCAGTGCTGGAGAGCCTGAAAATAGGAGGGTCACTACAAGTCTGAGCTGTGTAGTGAGACCCTGTACCAAATAAATAAATACTTCTTTAAAAAAAAATAGGAAAAGGCTCAGAAATCTAATCTTGAGGTTTCTTTATCTGGAATAAATTAGCATTGGTGACAAATTGAAAGTAGATTGATTGATGGGATAGAAATTCATTTTGGATTTTTCTGGGACTTTATGTAATTTGTATGGTTTATTGTGCCATTATAAAACTTTTTTCTATAAATAACTAATATTATTTCTTATTTAATATTTACTGGTAGGTATCTCAATAGTTTCTCACTTAAGATGTTAGTTTTTCTTTAGCTGACTGATTGTTAACAAAAACATATAGGTAGACATTTCAGATAGAAATTTTAGTGCAGGGAGCAATGACAAATTTTCTCAATAAGCTCTAGCTTCAGGGTGCTATTTAGGAGACTTTAGGCATTTTCTTTGCTGAAAAAAAAATGATTCCTGCATATGCTTTCTGCTTCTTCAGCATGATCATATTTTCAGTGTTTTTTGCTGCTTTGAGAAAATATTCATCCAATATTTGAGGTGGCTTCCAAAACCTTGAGTATAAATCATGCCTTCTGTTAATAAACAGTGAAGAAATAAATGATTCCATCTATATTGTTTATGTTGGTACAAACAAGCCTGCACATGGGCCATAGAGCAAAGTAGAACATATCAATTGCATGTTAGTGAGAGTTTTATCATTCCCAGTTGCTTTTTTGAAAAATTGTTTTCATTTTTCAACATGTCAGCAAGAAATAATGCTTCATTTAGCACATCAAGTTTATCTATGCTTTAGAAGTTTAAAAATTATTTAGAACCTCAGAAGTATGGAGGAAATGAACCAACCTCTTGTGAATCCGCTAACTTAAAAATCACTCGTATTCCAGAGGTAATTGACAAGTTCAACACCATGGCCATCATTGATGGGAAGAAGGAGCACGTGAGTCTGACGGTGGACAACGTCCACCTGGAATATGGGGTGGTATACGAGTACGACAGCACGGCCGGGGTCAAGTGCAACGTGGTGGAGAAGATGATTGAGCCCAAAGGGTTCTTCAGCTTAACTGCCAAGGTATGAAGGACCCTGTGACAACATGGATCCTTTCTGTTCGTTTACAAAGCAATCAAGCCCCTCCACACTCCCACTTTTAAAAAGGGAAGCCTCTGGGCCGGCCAGATAGCTCAGTGGATTAAAATGCCTGCTTAGGCAGACTCAGGAACCAGGGACTGTTCCCCAGGGTGCCATTCCGGCCCCACCTCGGGGATGTACTGAGTTGGCGATTGACACTGGGTGTGGTGGTATGCGCCTGTAATCCCAGCACTCAGAAGGCTGTAAACAGGAGGATCACTACGAGCCCAATTTGTGTAGTGAGACCCTGTATTAAACACATAAAGAATAAAACAAAACAACAACTAAAAAAAGGGAATGGCTGAACATGTTGTGGCTGAGAGTTCATTCAACTCCCTTTTCTTTTCTCCAACTATTAAGTGTGTGCGGTCTTCCTTTCACTGACCCTCGCTGAGCTCAGTGTTTCAATGGGCCTCTTCAGCAGTAAAGTGGTAGTTGATGTGACAAATAGTTCACTGTGTCATGGTGAAGTATTTTGAATATATTTTAGATGGTTTTTAGGATAAGTGTCTTATTTTTCTTAATGTATATTATACTCCAATGAGTACTCCAAACCACAAAATATGTACAATACAAAAAATTTCATGCATTCTAATTTTTTAAATGTATTTGGAAAAAAATGTATTTGGTACAGGGTCTCACTACACAGCTCGGCCTTGTAGTGATCTTCCTGCTTTCAGCCTCTCCATTGCTGGGGGTACAGGCATGCAACACCACTCCCAGTCTCAGTGGCCAGTTCAGTGTGCCCAGGGGGCAGTGGTGCTGTAAGTCAAATCCCAGTCCCTGTGCTTACTTAAGCAGGCACTTAGTCCACTGAGTTATCTCTCCAGCCCTCAGAAATTTTAAAGGATTTGTCAAAAATTATAGGAAGCCTAGAGATCAGTTTATGAATAGGTCCACAGACATTTGTGTAATTTTCATTTTGAAGAATATCACCGTAAGGTCCTTAGGTGAAAGCCAAGATGGGGAGAGAAGACGATTACTTATAGCCAGTGGATAAAATATGTTATGCAAAGGGGTCATTTATGCTTCCTGTTCACAGGCCTTTTAAAAGATAAGTCAGATTCTTACTATGTCATCTATGGTTCTGGGCTGCACTCTTTCCTTCTATTTACATATCATCCTGAGGGAAGTTAGATATTATAAGTAGACAAATGATATAGAAGTCCCATGCCTGTATTTCTTTAATTCTTGCTTCAAATAGTTTCTGGTTGAGATACATTTGTTCAATGTATTTTTTTCTTAAAAAAGTAATGTGAGAAAGTAATATAGAGGGCTGGCCAAATAGCTGAGTGGATTGAAGTGCCTATAAGCAGGCTCAGGGGCTGGGGGTTTGATCCCCAGGCCTGCCATGCTGGCCCCGCCTGCGGGGTGCACTGAGATGGCAATTGAAATTGGGCATGGTGGTGCGCGCCTGGAATCCCAGCTTTTGGGAAGCTGTAAACAGGCAGATCACTACAAGTCTGATCTAGTAGTGAGACCCTCAGCATTCTGTAGGCCCTTCCCTAAAAAAAAAAAAAAAGAAAGAAAGAAAGAAAAAGAAAAAAGTAATATAGAAATTTAAGTGAACTATTTTAGAAACGATTCTTTTATCCTTTTTCATTTTCTATTCTAAAAATCAGCTTAAAATATTTCTTCATTTTGCCACTCTTTATGAAAAGTTTGTATTTTCCAAATGGCAGCTCTTTTCAACTATGTTATGCAATGAACAGGATCCAGGTAAGAGGCCAGGCCAGCTACTATCATCATTTTATCCTGTTTTCCAGCTCCTTCAACTTTTTATGCATTATTCTGTATAAAATAACTATATAAATTAGTACCATAGATAATATTTCCATTTTACACATGCAGAAAGCTCAAGAAGCTAAGAACTTTAGCCAAGACTACTGCTAAAGATAAAGGCTGCTCTTCTGTACAAAAACTCCCTTCTCAGCTTCCAAAAATGGAGGTGGTGAGAGAACTGAAGAAATGTAGCCTGGATGCATTATGCCTCCCAGAGTAGTATAAAAGTATTGTTTAAAAGTGCATTTCATCCTTGTGGTCTCTGAACAGCTACAAATGCTGCAGATTTTCTTTTTTCTTTTTTCTTCTTCTTTCTCTTTCTTTTTTTCACGAAACTGGGGATTGAACTCAGGCCCTTGTGCTTGCCAAGCAAGTGCTTATTCTACTGAGCCATCTCCCCAGCCCAAGTGCATAATTTTCAATTCGTTAGAAATTCTCAGTGATCTCACGACCTCATGCACGCTCACACAGAGATTTACAACTAGTTGAGGTGTAGAAGAATATTTGCTAGTTGAAATCATCCTAAGGATACTGTCTGATGCTTTCATCAGCTACCTAGGGCTCAGACATTGTCTAAATACCAATTTATTCTTCACCAAGGTAGCTTTTGGTTTAGTCAGCCCTCAGCAAGTTCTTAATTGTATAATGTGTATTTGGCACTCAGTCACAAGTAAAGATACTATGGCATTTCCATAGCTTCTCTGTTCTACTACCCAACTGAGAAAAATAATGTTCTGAGTGATTCTGAGGAAAATATATTCTGAGAAAATACCTTTGAAGTCTCCCTGCCCTGCCCCCAGGAAGGTCTTTACAGTCAGCAGAAGGTGAAAGCTGAGGTTCCAGGCAGACATGTGAAGTCATTCCACTGACAGTGTCTCCCTGAATGCGAACGTCCTGGGATGCTTCTAAGAAAACACAGGAAAGTCACACTGTAGTGTAAACTTTTGAAGATTTTATGTGTCTGCTTCTGAAATTTGTTTTGTGTGTGTTTATTGCTTTAGATCCTTGAAGCGCTGGCTAAAAGTGATGATCATTTTGTACAAAACTGCACCAGTTTCAATTCTCTAAATGAAGTGATCCCTGCGGACCTTCAGAGTAAATTCAGTGCAATCTGTAGTGAAAGAATTGAGCACATACGTCAAAGAATACTCAGTTATAAAAAGGTAAAGATTTTATAAATTTTACATGTAGCTGTGAAAATATTATTCAGATATCAAAATAAAACTATTTGTTTCACCTATACATTAGGTACCAATTTTTGAAGGAATGGTAATATTTCTATAAATATCCTAGTTTGTTTAATGTTATTGTAAGAAAATTCATCTTGTTCTTTTCTTTTCTTTTTTTTTTTTTTTTTTTTTTTTTTTTTGCGGAACCAGGGATCGAACTCAGGCCCTTGTGCTTGCCAGGGAAGCACTTATTCCACTGAGCCATCTCCCTGGCCCTGTTCTTTTAAATATATACCATCTTTAATGTCTTCTCTATGAGTATTATATTCTCTTTAAAATAAATTAAGAACAAAAAATTAAAAAAGGACAAGGAAAAAATTAAGGTTTATGGAAAGGAAGAGTGGATGTTTCATTTTTTGATCAATCCTGCATGTCTGTGTTGGGTAGTTTGAGCAAGAAATTTGGCAATAACAAAACTTAATATTACAATCCTTGCTAATATTCCATTCTTGTTCTGAATTCTGCACCATTTGTACTGTCTTATATTGCTTTGTTTATGTCTTTGTTCTTGTTATTTGTTCCACTTTTTATTTTTGTTTTTCCTCTTGAAAATTAAAAAAAGAAATATAATATTTAATAGAGAGAGAGAGGAAAAAAAAAACCCTAGGCCCGGCCGGATAGCTCAGTGGACTAAAGCACCTGCTTAGGCAGAGCGCAGCAGCGCAGGTTCAGTCTCCGGTATGCAGTGCCGGTCCTGCCCCCGGGGCACGCTGAGAGGGCAATTGAGACTCGGCGTGGTGGTGCTTGCTGTAATCCCAGTGCTTGGGAGGCTGAAAACAGGATCACTACAAGTTCAATCTATGTAGTGAGATCCTGTACACTCTATACACCTTGTCCTAAATTCGTACAAAAAACAAAAAGAAAAACTCCTGAGACCAGCTATTACAGTTTATATAGAAGCTTGCTATTACATGGATCTGGGTACTAGCAAGTCTAGCATCCGTCTAGGTGCTGGCAGGACTCAGGGCCTTTTTACTGCACTGTGATGTAGGAGGGCGTCACGTGGTGAGCAGAGCAAGCCCGCCAGCTCAGCTCCTCCCTCCTCTTGTTTGAAAGTCACCGACAGCATGGTGGCGGCTCTCTCTCATGATTTAATTACTAATATTAATTACTTACTAAAAGCCCCACTTCCAAATACTGTTGATTGACTTATGAATTTGAGAAGTAGTTTTGTAACAAATTTATTTTGGTGGAACACATTCAAGCCATATAAATAACATATTAGTATTTTTTTTTAACATCTGTACCACCTTGTTTATACCTTTGCAAGCCTATAAGTTGTATTTCCAAAACTTTCTAAAAGTAACTGTGGTATATTTACTTTCTAGTAAAACAGCTGAGTTTTAAGTAAAGATCATCTAATATTGAAGTCAAATTTTAAAATTGCATGTTAGCCCTTTTTTTTTTTCTTCCAGCACAAAAAAACCCAGGAAGCTTCAATCAGAAAATGCATGGAAAATAGGCATTTTAAATTGATCTGTTGGTATGTTCATTTGCCAGTTACCTGTCAGGTGCTTTCTGTGTGCCAAGCACTGTTCTCGGTGCCAGGAGTGTGGCCTGGGGAAGCGCAGACACGATCCTGCCTCTCATACTCTCACATTTGTGTGGCAGAAATAGCAAAGAAATAAATAAATCCCTACAAAGTAGTGTACTCAAACTGAAATGAGCTCCAAAGAAGTCAAAATAGATGTCATGGGCAGTGTCAAGGTGGTGCCCTTACACTGGGTAGCTAAAAACAGCCTCTTTCAGAGAGCTGACTTTGGGCTGGCGAGATAGCCCAGTGGACTAAGTGCCTGCTTGGGCAAGCACAGGGACTGGGGTTTGATCCCTGGCACTACATGCTGTGCCAGCCCCACCCCCGGGCACACTGAGCTGTCCACTGAGTCCAGACACTCTGGAGCAGTACTAGGGAGGTTGAAAAGGAGGATCACTATGTGTCTGAGCTGCATAGTGAGACCCTGTACCAAATACATAAAACTTGGAGGGAGGGAGGGAGGGAGGGAGAGAGAGAGAGAGAGAGAGAGAGAGAGAGAGAGAGAGAGAGAGAGAGAGAATGCTTGTTTTATGGGGTCAGGAAAATAGCTCAGTGGTGTAAGTGCCTGCCTGGCAAGCACAAGGACCTGGGTTTGATCCCAGGTACCACATGCTGTGCTGGCCCCATGCCATGGCAGCTAGTGAAACCAGACCTGGTAGTGCATGCCTGTAATGCTAGCACTGAGGAAGATGACACAGGAGGGTCACTGCGAGTTCGAGCTGAAGGAAAGCTTATTTCTGAATGACAGAAAGAACCTCCCATTTGAATTTGAGTGGAAACATCTGGGTAAAAGGAACTGGTTGTACAGAGACAAGGCCCAAAGGAAGAAGGGAAGACCGTGGGGGTAGGTGCATCAGAGACATGAGCAGAAGCTGGTCACAAAGAGAGATGGGAGCAGTGTACAATTTGGAGCACTGAAAGAAAGCTGGATTTCATTCTTATACCAGCAAAAACAGATTGGGAGGTTTGGGGTGACATTATCCAAATTTAGGGCTCTGAGAGACCATGGTTTTATAAGAATGAGCTTCAAAAAATTTAAAAAAGGGAAAAATTAAGAACAATTAAAAGAAATTATGATACTCCAAGAGAAAATGATGATAGTTTGGACTACAGCGAAGATGCAGGAGGCAGAGAAAATTAGAAGGATAGTAGGATATATTTTGGAATTAAAATGAATGAAAATTGATCCCACAAAATATATAACAAGTTTAATCTTTTGTTTCATTTATATTTATAGGAGACTAAATTTTTATCTAAATTAAAGAATGTAATTGCTTAAAATTATGTATATTCACACTAGAGAAGAGTATATTATCCTGTTTAGAAATATTGTTTGACTGCAATTTTGGTTCTTGATACTATAATTGAAAATAAACCCATATTTGTGCAGGTGAAAACAGGGATGCATGCATGTGAAAACCCAAGGGACTGTCAAGTTGGTCATAGCAGGTAGAGTGAAATGAGGGGGAAAGAGGATCATTATATTTTCTTCGAACTCTTCCTGGGACGTGTAGCTTGCTGAGCGTGCAATGCTGCTTTAATTTTTTTAAAGACCTGTCATGTGACCAAGAGCATCCTCAGGATCCCTGGCACATCTAGTCCTCTTTCTGTGACTGAGGAGCTCAGCTTCTCTCCTGCAATTTGGCAAAAGTTCACAAGTATGTCTTGTTTGGAGGCTGAAGGAGAGAAGAGTCTCCTCTTATTTCTCCTTAGTATATAGGACTTGACAAGGTTTTGAAAATAAAGGAGTCTCTAAACAAATGCAAATTAATATTATTCGTCTTTTGAACACATTTGAAAGTAAGTTATTCCACTTCAAGATAGACTGGCATAGGAAGGGTAGGGGCTCAAATGGTTTCTGAGTGCCAAGCTGGTCGCTGTGTCTGTGTCATATTCTTTTATTTCTTGGCTTTCTTCTTAAATTATCTCCATCATATCCAACAAAAACACCAGAAGTAGCCTCAAGAAATGTATATGGAAAAGATAAACAACATTTAAAAACTGGAATCAAACTAGATTAAGCTGTTTTATGAAAGGTGAAGATAGCAGAAGGTGAAACAAGATAGATCTATTTTTCATTCATATAGTTCAACCTGACAAGAGTTTAGTGGGGCATCATGTCAAAGTTATAACCCCCTACAAGGGGAGAAAAGGAAAGACAGAATGTAAAGGGTCCCCTATGAGGGCGTGATCCCAAAGCTATGGTATTGCTCCTGTGTACACTGAAAAACTGTCCTGGAGGGCTGGTGTGAAGTTCTCATGAAAGCCCAGGAAGTTTTATTACTAAAAGGAAGAAGAAAATGGATATTGATGGAAAATTAACAATGTCTACTACCTGCTAAAGCCATAATAGAATACAGGTATAGACTCCAGGGAGAGGGTCCTATGTAAACAGGTTCAGAGACTCTGTCTAGTTGCTAAAGTTGGCTTTCAGAATGAAAAGAGAAACAGCCTATTGCATATTTATCAATTCCCATGGAATATACTTTTTTTCTTAAAAGAAGCATACCTTTTATTGAACTGAGTTCTAAAAGAAATCCATTGCTCTAAATTTCACAGCAGCAACACCAAGGAATGTCATCAACAGACTCCATAAGCATACCCCTGCATAAGAAGGAGTAAAACAAAAAGTATTACTTTATGTGTCAGATATTTTTAAAATTGTCTTTAACAAAAATCCATAGTCTAGATGAAAGACTCAATTTCATAATAGCAACTTTGTTGTAGGATAGGTCAGGAAGAATAGGAAAATACTGGGGCCAGGGAGATGGCTCAGTAGAATAAGCGCTTGCCTGGCAAGCGCAAGGGCCTGAGTTCAATCCACCATTCCACAAAAAAAAGAAAAGAAAATGCTAACATATAATTTTTATGAAAAAAATGAGGGCTTAAGTAAGAGTTACTGAACAATCCCTGTCCTCTTACACAGCCTATTTGACAAGAAGAATCAAAATGTATGAAGTGAGGGCTAATAATTCCGACTTAACCTGCATTATTAGTAATGCAGCCATAAATGTTTGAGTGTGCTGGCCTCGCACATCCTGGTTTATATAACCTGGTTCCTAAGGTTGGGTAGCATGCAATAGTTTTGGAAATCTACAGTAAGGTATATGAGATATTTTACAGTTCCCCTACATTGTATAAACTTACCAAAATAGTAGTATGAGATACACAGTACTCATTCGCCATCTTATTGAGAGATTGGCTAGAGTTTGGAGTTAAGTAGCTTGCCCAAATATAATAGCAGTGGAACTTGAATCTTGTTCCCTTTTATTCTAACATTTTTTTTATATCCATTTGACATTGTATAACACAGCTTAGGTATTATCCGGTATGATTCTGACTTCCAGAGCAAAAGAATTTCAGTAAAGGAAAAATTCATTGTGGATTCAAAGTCAGCATACAGTAGCTCCTCTAAGTTGGTAATATTTGTCACTGTGAAAGGAAGAGAGTTGACACTGAAATAAAGAGAGATAACATCATTTCAGGCAAAGATATGGAAATGAGATTGATCTTACTGGTTAAAATATTGTCATATCACCTGGACTAGAATAAAATGTGAGTTGGATGTAAATAAACAAAACTAGTAAAATCAGTTTTCCCAGTGACATTGTGAAGTCACATAATAACCAGGTTTGTTTGTAAGGAAATCTCTTTGGCCATCGTGTAAATCAGTGATCCCCAATCTTTTGGTCCCAGGGACCTGTTTTGTGGAAGAAAGCCTTTCTGTGGACAGGTGTGTGGTGGGTTAATTTGGGATGACTCAAAGGAGGCACAACTTAGATTCCTTACACAAGCAATTCACACTAGCCTTTGTATTCCTGTGGGAACCTAAAGCCCTGCACACCTGAGAAGAGGAGAAGCTGAAGCAGTGATGTGGGCAGTGGGGAGCAGATGTAAATACAGATGAAGTGCTGCTTGCTTGCCCGTCTTCACCTCCAGCTGTGTAGTCCAACTCCATAATACGGGGTTGGGGACCTCTAGCTTAAAGAGTTGGCAGGCAAGGGCCGGCCAGATAGCTCAGCAGATGAAAGTGCCTGCTTAGGCAGAGTACAGTGGCCAGGATTCAATCCTTGATGTGCCCTGCCGGCCCTGTATCCCAGGTACTTTTGATGTACATTGTTGTTGAGTCTCCACACAGCAGTGTGTGCTGACTCGTAAGCCCCTCTTTGGAGACAAGAATTTGCCTCGGCTCGCAGCAGCATTCTCTCAAATCATGTGAATGGCACTCACAAGATATTAGTCCTGCAAAATACTCTCTTGTTTATTTTTACTGTAGAAATAAAAGAGACATGTTGAGTAAAGTAGGGTTCAAGTGCTATGCAACCTGCCCTTATCACCATGTCATTTGGGCATAAGCATTCTTAAATAATTGGCTGTCTGTGTGGAAAAGCAAGACTGGCAAGAGCATTTCACAAACCATCTCAATTCGAATAAATGTAAGACCCTACGGTGATAGCCCTGATGGTCACCTGTAGAGGTGCAAGTGGATCGGACTTGGACTGGTATAGAAGCATAGGGGATGGAGAGGAGAGGTCAATCCATGCTCTAAGCGTCTATACAAGTATGACTCTCGTAGCCCCATATACGTATCAAATGCGTGCTAACAGAAGCTGTACCATTTGTGATTTTCACTTTCCACATGTTTATTTTTGAACTATTATTAACATATTCTTCTTCTAGAAGAACGCTTCGGCACTCCTTTTTGCATGCAACAATATGTATCCATAGAAACTAAACTCTTAAAAAGGCTGGCTTGACTTTATTTTGACTCTAAAAGTTTTAGATTTTAAAAATAGAAACCAGTTAATGTCTACAGTTTCTACCGCCAGGCTGCTATGATCATAATAGATTTCCTGGCCAATTTTAGAGCCCACAGATGTTTTTTCAGTTTGTGCATGAGACAAGATGAGACCTTATTGAATTCAGACCTGAATAATCATCTTATGCAGGCCTTTATTGTCTGTGGAGGAGGATGTATTCAGATGCCCGATAGACTGTCTTGAGCATCTTTTTTAGTTCCAGAAGCTAGTCTGTCTTAGAATAATTACATAAATTTGATTTATTTTCAGAAATGAGAATACTAGATATACATTGTATTCAAGAGATAGTTTCTGTTTACACAGAGTTATTGCAGGCAGGAAATGGTAGCATTGTTTTGAACAGTCTAAGTACTTATATTTTTTTTGCCATATAATCTTGAAACTGAAATATAGTTTTGAAAAATGGCATGTAAAATTCTCCCTCAAGGCAATCAAATACAGAACTTTTGTAACTTTAGTCCAAAAAGCTTTTAATTGAAGTATGAGACTATCTGCACAATAGCCTACCTTTATAGTATTTCTGACTTTCAACTAAATGACTGTAATTGGATTTAAATATGGTGCCAAGATCAGTGATTTATTAATAACCTACTAATACATTAAAACTTAAAGTCTCATCTCCAAGAATTGTTTATTCTTATAAATGTGCAAATATTCTTTTATATTACTTCCTTATATTGTTTATTAAAAATAGGTACTTCCCCGCCACCACACTCTTCCCTACATAGTGTTTCACTCTTTGATCTCTTTCCTGAAAAGAGCCTCTCTTCCTACTGTCAGAGCCTATTGTCTCAGTCACCTTCCCCTCGCTGGACTCCAGCTGGCCCTTTGTCCCTGCTGTGTATCTGAAATGGCTATAATTGGCCAAGCCTATTCACATTTCTCATTGTGTTCCTTGTCTGACCAGCACCTGATGGTGAACCTTTCTTTAGCAGTTCTCTGTGGCAGCACAAATGCCCGGCTCCTGTCCTTGCTTGTGGATGGCTTATTCATAGTATTTTATCCTGATTCCTCACTTTCTTCTTGGACAGAGAGCTGCGGCTCAGGACTTGAACTTCTCATTTTCTCTCTTCATTCTCCCTCTCATGGTGATACTCTGGCCCATTTTCCTATATCTGAACTTAATTCATCTTTGAAATAATTTCCTGACTCCACCTTCTGCAGTGTGTCCTGCTAGCTGTCTTGTCCATCTCAGGATTATATCCACTCTGCCCCTGAATACATTCTTTATCCTATGTCACGTATCAGTCTTTCGTCTCTACCTGCAGACCCTGCTGCACCCTTCCTCCCTGCTTCTTACCACTCATGGTCTAAGGTGAGCCACTGTCATCTTTCTCCATAGTAGTCCCCTGCTCCCAGCTGTCCCCAACCCATTTGTTAAGCCTGCTAGGTCCCACAGAATGTGCGCCTCCCTGAACCACGAACCTCTCCAGTGCTGTGTCCTTGGCCTTCCCGTTTACCATCCGCTGTGTCTTCTCGATATTCCTTGAGCACACTCAAGCTGGGCTCTCTCTTCAATCAGATACTTCTGCCTAGACATCCACATTCTTTTCTTTTCTTTTCTTTTCTCTTGAGAATTGGCCTAACTGACAACCCTTTAGTGAGGTTTTCCCTGAGGACTCATTACAACTGGCCATTTAATTTTTGCTTCCTTTTTGAAACTCCCAACCCTCTTACTCTGCTTTACTTTGTTTTAATTATTCCTTCAACCTTCTCATATAACACTGTTGACTTATTGCTTTTTCCCCCTCTCCTACTAAGGCTTGTAAAAGATGCTGATTTGCCCAGTATTCTGTTTGCTACTCCAATAGCAATACCTTGCTCACAGATAGCCAGGGACTCAGTCCTTTGCTTTTGAGATTAAGGTTCAGTTGAACTCTATGAGACATCTGTTTATAATCCTTAGACAAATGTAGTTATTACCCTCATAATGTGTGCCATCTTCTAGGTAAACAAAAGATAGGCAGTTATTTATAACAACAAAGACAGTCATAATATGCTGTGGCGTAGCATATAATCAGGAAAGTAGAACTTGGTGTAGGACTCAGGGAAGGCTTCCTGATGCTTTACTTGGATCTGAAGATGCACAGGAAAAAGTTTGGTAATGAGGGAACAAAATTCTAGTCCCAAATCTAGACTACAAAGTTAGAGTTAGTAAACGGGTAATATATGAGAGGAACTATGAGAATCCTAGGAGGATCTCAAAGATTAAGTGAAAAGAGTTCTATATAGACGGGTTAGGTGAAGATCAAATTTTTGGCAACTGTATAACATAGTCCATGGCAAAACTGAAGGATTTGTGGTTTTGTTTTGGTGGTACCAGGGATTTAACTCAGGACTTTGTGCTTGCCAGGCAAACTCTTATTCCACTGAGCTATCTCCCAGTACCACTTAAAAAAACTAAAAGATTTGAATGGAAAAGTATTACAGGATTTGAAGCAGCACAATGGCCACCCTTGGAAGTCATAAATCATATGAATGTCACTTTATTGTCTGTGTTATCAGATCATACTGGAAACTCATCTCTGAGTTGATCATCACCCCAAATCTCATTTGTGAGTAGCAGGAGGTAGGGACAGTACAGCTATCCTGCCATTCTGGGTTAACACCATCCCTCTGCTCTCTGGCTTGTATGCAGAAACATGCTTTGGGTTGCCTATTTAATAATACTTGAAATATACTTTCCTCCATTAGCCTTGACTGGTACCTATATTGTTTTGCTAGCTCCTCTTACTTTTAAGTTCTGCTTCCTATCCTGGCACCATGGGAAGCTGTTTTCTTTATTAGACCCTGTCACTACTAGGAACCTGTGTCCTAGTGGTTGTGTTGATGACTGAGATGCAGTTCGTTTAGCACCTCACTTGTGAACAGAGTTTCAAGGGAATACTTGGGATAGTTGGGTGTGTTAGCACAGACCTGTAATCCCAGAACTCTGCTAGGCTGAGCCAGTAAGAAAGAATTTCAACCCAACCTGGGCAACTTCCAAAGACAGTCTCAAAATAAAAGATTCAGAAATGATGTGTATAGAGACAGGGGCAATGATATCATTCAGTGCAAAGGCCCTGATTTCAATCTAGTCCCATGAAAATAAAAGCTTGGGTTTTGAAATAACAATTTTTATTGCTAAAAACCTAATTGATTTCCCCATTTCCACTGACATGGCTTAGTATTCTGTTGATTTTGTTATGGATGATCCAAGTGCAATATTTGTTATTATTATGTGTTCAAGTACTTTTTATTTTTTCTTTAATTTACAGTTTTCTCGTTTCCTGAAGAATAGAGCCTGGCCCACCTTTAAACAGGCCAAATCTAAAATCTCTCCTCTGCACAGCAGTGATTTCTGCCCTACCAACTGCCACATCAACGTGATGGAAGTTTCTTATCCTAAAACATCAACCTCCCTAGGGAGTGCCTTTGGTGTGCAGTTGGATAGTCGGAAACATAATCCTCATGATAAAGAGGGCAAATCTTCTGAGCAAGGTATGCTAGTTTTTGAAATTTTATCAAATCATGAGAAGTAATTTAAGATGCAGTTATTTCTGCATCTTAAAATTTAATGTACTCTGGGTGTGCAGCAAGCCTACCTTTCATAAGAGATTCGTTATTCTAGAGTCACTTAGATGATTAAGCATAAGCGTCTGCATAATGGAAATGGAGTTGTGCATTTTTATTCTGTTCCTTTTAGGAAGGATGACTTTTTTTTGTCTTCCTTATTGTATATGCCTTTGTGTGATAGGCACAGCTAATCTGCTGTGAAAACCAGTAATCTGAAGTGACCCTATACGAAAAATACCAAAGGAGTAGATGAAAGATGCATTGTGCCACTCTTCACCATTGTGGTAGGACAAGGGACTGACCTATTTATAGCTTTTAATTACAATTCTCCACAAAATTTAATTCTGAATTAAATTCAGTATTGGGTTTGAATTCTGTTTTAGATAAGCTTGAACATCTAAAATATACTGAGAAAAAAAAATAAAATATACTGAGAAGGGCTGGCCAATAGCTCAGTGGATTAAAGCACCTGCAAGCAGGCACAGGGGCTGGGGGTTTGAGCCCTGGGCCTGCCATGCTGGCCCTGCCCCCAGGGCATGCTGAGACAGCAATTGAGACTGTGCATGGTGGCGCGCTCTTGTAATCCCAGCTCTTGGGAGGCTGTAAACAGGCAGATCACTATGAGTCCAATTTAGTAGTGAGACCCTGAATACCCTGTAGACCCTTCCCTAAAATACTATATCTATCTATCTATCTATCTATCTATCTATCTATCTATCTATATCTACATCTCTATCTCTATCTATCTATGGATGGGTTGACAGCTGTGATACTGGTATACATTATTATGAAGTGGTCTTAATTCCTCAGGGAAGCTGAGCCCCATGGTGTACATCCAGCATACAATTACCACCATGGCAGCCCCCTCAGGGCTGTCTCTGGGACAGCAGGATGGCCATGGTCTCCGGTATTTGTTAAAAGAAGAAGACTTAGAGACTCAGGATATCTATCAGAAACTGCTGGGCAAGCTTCAGACTGCACTGAAAGAAGTGGAGATCTGTGTTTGTCAAATAGATGAGTAAGTATCTTATATTGTACTTTTGCATTTATTTAATAAAGTAACTGTAGAAAAGGTGACTTGCATACATGCACCCAAGAGACACAGTGAGATGGGAAGCATGAGATGGCAAGCATGTGTGTGCTTGTTAAGTGAGCAAATAGGAACAGATGAACGTATACAACCAGTACTTTGTTGTTTTGAATCAATGGATTACCTGCTAAGCAATAGCCCAAACAGTGTGACCAACAATTTACAAGTTTCAACCAAGATAAGATAGAGGAGTTAACAAACACATTCTAACCAGATCAATTCTAATTTTTATTTAAGAATTTGAAAGTCGAAGAATTGCCTGATCTCTGAATGGTTGTCATAGTCTCATATAAATTATGCTTTTTTAACCTCTAATAAAAGCAGCTTGATACAGTCATAAGTCATGGCTTTGGGGCACCTATTTCTCATTTGAAGAAGTAGGCAAATAATAATAATAATAGTAATGATAAAATTTTTTTTGGTCTTTTGGTTTTTTTGGGACAGGGTCTTGCTGTACAGTTCAGGCTGGCCATGGACTCGCTGCGTACCTCAGTCTGGCCTTGAACTCACAGCAATCCTCCTGTCTCAGCCTCCCAAGTGCTAGGATTACAGGCATGCACCACCACACCTGGGTTATAAACTTCAAGTTATGGTGAAAATTATACAAATTAATACAGAAAATAATTAGCATTGTGTCTGATATTATGCTTGCATTAAAGAAGTAGAAATTATTGTATATATTATGGAGGTAGAAATTATTGAATATATTCAAAATTAATAGATTCTGAAAATGATACAAATACTGTTACCTATTTTTATTGTATATTTTATGAAATTGTTGATTTACAATCATAGCAGATAGGGATTGTTTACCTCACATACTTACAACATCCCATACTTTCATGTGTAATTCAGTTTAGATACCAAATATTTAGAATTTATTCCATAGTTTTATTGTAATTAGATATTATATTAATGTCATAATTGACAAAATCTCATTTTATATATTTTTGAAATTCATATTAAATATGTGATATTTTAAAATTTTAAATTTATATATTATGTGTTTTTTTATGTTCTATGGATAATTTAGAATTAACATTCTGCTTTCCTCTAATAAATTAGTTCTTTTAGTCTTTTAATTTAGCACATGTTTGAAATACATAATAATTACATTCCTCATAGGGAGTAGGCTTTTAAATATTATGTATTACATTTTATACATTAAACTGAGATTTCCCCAGTACAGATGAATTAAACAGTCTGAAGTTGCTGAAAGAGTGGGAAATTATTTTTAAGTAGTACTATGACACTTTGGGCTATCTTGGAACCCTTGTGACAGAAAGCGTTTTATATTTTATGGCATTTTGTTTTACTTTATTTAACAAATGGGAAGGGTTTTGCTTTTGCTTTCTTATGTGCAACTCTTGGATTGAACCTAGGGCCCTGCACGTGCTAGACAAACCCTGTACCTGTGAGCCACTGCTCCAGCCCTGGGGTGGGATTCTAATACATGATGCATTCTATTTTAGAAACCAGTCATTTCCCCCTTATATTACTTCTGAAAATGGTTGGTTTTTTTGTTCACTTTGGATTTCCCCATTTGGCTATTCTAAAAGCCGTTTCACAACTCTGCAACGTTTGTTAGAAAAGTGACATGAAATGAGCAAGTAGTTGAAAAAGTAACTTGGTTTTTTCTGTCTACACCATATAATTTAATTCTAAATGTATATGTGTTCCCCATAATTCAATCTGCTGTATAGTCAGTTTAAAACATTATAGTCATCCAAGTGCCATTGCCCTTAGTATTCAGAGATGCTGCAGTGCAGTCAAGCTCAACAAATTATCTAAAAAGCTAGTTACAAACAATTTTCTTAGCATGCATAATTGTTCCTGGTCAGAGTGGAAATGCAGACCTCGGATGCCCTGCTAACTTTTAAGAGCAACTGCTTCATCAGATCTCATTGATAGCCTTTCCTGAAGTGATTCACTCCTATGAAGGGTCTACTGTGAAGCTTGTCTTATGAAGTCTGCAGACTTGAGAACTCTTCTAGAAATAAAACTTCCCTTAACACAAAGGCATTAAGTCCACCTACTTAACTTCAGATTCAGAGATGGAGTTGAGATGAATTTGCTGTCCAGTAACAGAGATAAAGTGATGCTATGAATATAATCAAGGCTTTATGGTTTCTATTTCACTCTGAGAAGCTAAATACATTTGTCTTTGAATGTGTTATTTTCTGGTTAACCACACTTGGAGAGTAGAAAAAGGAAATGAAAAATAATTCCTAAACCTTTAATGAGACTTTAAAATAGAGGAATGTATGTATTCTCCTAGGAAAGAATCAGAGTAATGAGGACTGGTGAAGGTAGGAAATTTGTAAGCAGATTTAATTCTTCCAGTGTGGGATGCCCCAGGGTTGAGTACTGAGCAAACTGCAGAGCAGGACACTTTGTGACTTGTGTTGTGAGCGGTGGAATTAGCCTTTAAGTTTCTTTAAGCGTGTTGCTGATAAATGCATGATTAGAAGGTGCAGCTTCACAAGAATAGCATCCAGGGCCCAGGGAGATAGCTCAGTGGTCTAAGCACTTGCCGAGGCAAGCTCAGGGTCTGGGTTCAATCCCAGCACCGCATGCCATGCCAGGCCTGCCCCTGGAGCACTGAGCCAGCCACCAAGTCTGAGTGCAGTGGTACACACCTGTAATCCCAGTGTTGGGGAGGCTGAAAACAGGAGGATCACTATGAGTCTGAGCTGTGTAGGGAGACCCTGTACCAAATATATAAAATTTTAAAAAATGAAAAAAAAAGGTATCCAGGAAAGGTTCGTCTGTGTGAGGCATTACTGATTTACTGCATTTTCAGTGATCCTTAGTTTGCATTATGAAACACTGGATTGGATGATAAACACATCAAATTTAAATTTGTTTCCAATACTGAATGATGTTTATGTATTCAAACTGCTTCTGCCTCTTCTTTAGGGTTCGCCCTTCTGCGTAATTTATGCCCTGTCTCTTCTGATTAACCAAGGCAGAATCCAAATATCAGCCTTGTTCCTTTTCTTTTCTTCCCTTCCACCTCTAAAACTGTATCAGGTTCTGTCAGTTATGATTCAGAATGTATTCAGATCTGTCCCTCAAGACTGAGTCACCGTTATCCCTCACTCGCACCAACAGAGTTTCCAAGCTGTGTCTCTCCCTGATACAGTCTATGTTCAACAGATGCCATAAGGATCCATAAAAGTCAATTGTTCTGGTCCACTGCTTAAAACCATTAAATTACATTGCTATTAGACTACAGTTGTTGTTTGGTATCTACAGAAGATTGCAGGACACCTTACAGGTAAAAACCAATCAGGAGGCTCAAATTCCTTATATAAAATAATATAGCAATTGCACATAACATATGTACATCCATTTATATACTGTGTACATTCTTCTATATGTCATCTTCCAATTTCTTACAAAACCTAATTAATGTAAGTGATATGTAAATAGTGATTTATTGTATTTGGGGGAAATAATGAAAAATTAAAGTTGGACATAGTCAATACAGGTGTAGTTTGCTTTTCTGAGTGTGTAATCCACAGTTGTTTGAATCCACGAGTGTGGAGCCCACAGACCTGGAGGGCTGACTGCAATAGCAGTGTATTGCTGTGGTTTACAAGAACCTACCTAATCTAACCTTGACCACCTCCAGGCTGATATCACTGAGCTCCAGCTCTGCTCCTGGAAAGTGACCACCTCAGTGTCACGTGAGCGTTCTCCGCCTGGAGGTTCTGCTTCCTTGTTCTGTGGGGCTAGCTGTCCTCTTAGGCACATAAGAATCAGCCAGTGGGTACCCATAGAGAAGCTCTGCCCAGTCTCCTATTAAAATAGCTACTCCTGTGCCTGACTCACTCAAGGTTTTCTTCTGTAAACGTCTCCTGGTTTCTCTATGATACCTTGTTTCCCTGTGTTCATGTTCATAAAAACTCAGCTAGTCTCAGAGACACAAAGCAACACATATTTCTTTCAAGATTATTCTCCCTGTCCATCTTGGGCATAGAATCGCTGATCCACATTATGCTCACATAGAGTTCCAGGCATGTATCCTGTCAGCTGAAATGTTTCTGACTATGGTGACAAGAGAAGGAAACACAGTGTACTATGCTCTGTCATAGAGGCTTCTACCAAGAGGTGACCTGAGTCGTGTCCACTCAAGTTGCATTAAGTAAAGCAAATCACGCAAGCATGCCTCTAGGCGCTTCCCCATCATGGGCCTATGTTAATGACTACTCTACTTTCCCCAAAATATGTGGAGTATATGGAGGGGAGGTTCTACTGAATTAGCAAAGCACAGGTATATAACAGTGTGTCTCACTCCTCCAACCTGTAAAATAGGGATGGGGACTAAATAAATTATTATCTATTAAGTATTCAACGTAATGACTGGCCTAAGAAGTCAGTAAATGTAAGGTGTGATGAGGATGATAATATTTTAAAACACAAATACATGCAATATGCTAGGCACAAAATTCTTAACGCCGTTAGGAGGAAACAGATGCGGAACAGTGTGCTGTTCAGATTTTAATTAATAGGTAATTAGTAGGTAGCTTAATATTGCATATGAGAATAAGCAATGGAAGACATTTTACATGCAGAAATAAAATACTACAGTCTGAGGCCTTCCTGTTTCAAAAATAGTGTGTGCTTAAACATATTCCCACAAGGTCAGCATAAGCGTGATTATAGCTGTTTAAAAGGAAAGGCAGACTTGTGAATACAATTTTTATAACTTAGCTCCATGATTTCTAATTTAAAATATACATAAGCACAGAGGACTCCTTGCAGAATGAGAGCTTGTTCTTATCTTTCCTTCTCGGTATTCAGAATTCATCTGTCTGTGCAGTATGGAGCTTGGGTAATTGGAGTCAGCCTAATATTTTAATCTTTTGGGTGGAAGGAATGAATAAATATACAATCTGTCTTACAAGACATAAAAGCATTTTTCCAAATAGAAAATCTGTGTTTAAAATAATTCATAGCTTTCACTTACTGAAAATGTTCGCAGAGCCTTGAGCAATGTAACACAGCTCCTCCAGTTTTATTGGTGTCTAAAACTATGAAATGCCAAAATATTAGTCAAACATCACCTCACAGTGAGACCTTCCCTGACACTGCTGTATAAAATGAAAGCCTTGTGCTTTTTGTTTTCTTCTGCAGTGCTTAAGATTAAACCCAGGGTCTTGGTCATGCCACACAAGCACTCTAACCCTGCGCCCCAATCCCAGCCCCACATCCATGATTTCTGTTCCATGTTCCTCCTGAATATTTGTCACCTCCTGACTTACCAGAGTATTATCTTGTTTCATGAATGTAATATTTTCCATGATCCTGGCTTCAGAATTCATTCCACTATTCTGGTTGCAACCTCATTGCAAGCATATTTGTGAAACAAATTCTGGGACCAAAATTGTAGAAGAAATTAATTTCGTGAACCATGGCACTACTGTATAAAGTGTGTGTCTCCTTCCAAAGGAATTTTCCCATACAGTGGAGACTTTTGTATGATTTGGATGCTACTATTTCTGACAACATGCTGAACAATAAATGTGTTTAATGAGTAAAACCACACTGAGAATTTACTCAGTGCACAACATTGCCTATAGCATTATGGGATGTGCATAAGATGTATCAACTGTTTTCATGCCCTTTTAATACCAAAATGAGCATAGTATTGCAGTGAAAAACTGAGTACAAGGTTTTTGCTATTGTTTGTCACTGAATATCAGGTATTTAGTAAATGAGAAGGTTGTTATTGGCTTTAAAACATACATATTATATTGGATCTTGGTTTAGATATGGTTTAACCCATTCTGCAAGGTTTATAGCATGCTATTTGGTAATAGAGACTAAATCTAATTTTTCTTCCTTCTGAATTAGTTCTTTTTTATGTATTTGGTATAGGAGGTACAGGGTCTACAGGTTCTACAGGGTCTCACTACATAGTTTGGACTTGTAGCAATTCTCTTGTTTTCAGCCTCCCAAGAGCTGGGATTACAGGTGCGCGACACCATGCCTAGTCTCAAATGCATCTCAGTATTCCCTGGGGGCAGGGCCAGCCTGGCACACCAGGGATTGAACCCTGGCCACTGCGCTCTGCCTAAGCAGGTGCTTTAGTCCGCTGAGCTATCTGGCCGGCCCTAGTTGGTTCTAATAGAAGTTCTAACATTCAAATACTCCAGCTCTACACTGATGGAATCCATAGTACCTCAGAGTCATCAGGTTTTACATGAATCCAGTCTGAATGTGACATTTTAGCCTGGAGTCCAGTGGAAGAGCACTTCCTTTAGACAGATTTGCATCACTTTCTTCTGGCCGGGTTGCCAGTGAGATTGGAGAAGCCCTTCCCTCCTCCTGCCCTCACGCCACATGTTACTGTGCCCAATACAACCTCCAGTCGGTAAGGCTAAGATTCCCGTTTGTGTGAGTAGGAAGGAGGGAATGATAACTGACATATTCCCTATTAAATAGAGCGATCTTGGGAAAAAGTCACAGTACAGGTCAGTGGATAGTTGGATATTATTTGAAGATAAAGCAGTCAAGATACTAAGGGGAAGCTAATGTTGGCACTTAATATTCAGTTAGCATTTTAAAACTCATCACTTACTTCATAGGGTGGCAATGGTGGTGACATGGTGAAAACACAGAGATGACATTACCCAGACAATCAAGTGGGCTAGATAGTCTTATTACTCTTATTTGTATTAAAGAGAACTACTGTACCATTGTACAGTAGCAAAGCTACAGATAACACAGCTACTAGGTGGTAGAACCAGGCTTTGAGCATAGTTTTCTGGTCTAAATTGTGTACTATTGCTATTATTTTAAGTAGAAAATGTTAGCTTTCTGTCATGTAGATTTTTTATTTTATTTATTTATTTGTTTATTTCTGTTGTTGTTGTTGTTGTTTTTCTTTTGGTGGAACCAGGGATTGAACTCAGGCCCTTGCGCTTGCCAGGTAAACGCTTATTCAACTGAGACATCTCCCTGGCCCCTGTCATGTAATTTTTATACTAGTGAATATTTATTTGTTGTGAAACATGGAAAGATGCTAGAAGTATTATAGATCTATCATATTAAACAGAAAAGGTAGTTTTCTGTAGCAGTTTGAAAGTATGTGAAAGTATTATTTCTTTGCTATCATATTACAGCCTTTTGTCTTCCATAACAAAATCTCCTAAGTTGGAGCATAAAACATCAGAGTGTGTGACGCCAATAGACAGCGACAATGAAAAGGGGGAACGCAACAGCAAACGAGTATGTTTTAATGTGGCAGGAGATGAGCAGGAAGATTCAGGTCATGATACCATCAGCAACAGAGACTCTTACAGGTAACTCTTTTCTCAACCTCATTTTGTCTACAAAGTCAGATGTGATCATCTATTTTCCACAAAGTCTTTGAAAAATTCTTTTAGTTGTTGGTTTGGTTGATTGTTCTTTCAAAATAATTATCTGTTATTACCAACATCAGAAAAAGAGTAGTGGGCAGCATAACCTTTCAGATTCTTCACTTTTAAAACCTGAGTAACTTGGAAAAGGTGTGTTTTGGTTTTTTTTAATTTGTTTGTTTTTGTTTTTCTCCAGCTCTGTAGCCTAACTTTGGAGATGTGCTCTATAAACAGATTTGTTACATTTATAGCAAATTATTTTACCAACACCATTTCAGATCATTGGTTTTTTTTGGGGGGTTGGCCTCATGTCTCCATTAATTTTTATAGCCTGTGTTCCAAGCTAATTGGGCTAATTTCGTTTGTCCACTTCCCTGACTATCTTGGTGTTTATTTCTTCTCTTGCATGCCTTCTGCACTAGTTGCCTATAGGTGCTGTAACAGAGTACCACAAACCATTATACAAACAACAGAAATGCATTATCATAATTCTGAGGCCAAAAACCTGAATCAGTGTATAGACAACGTTTGTTACTCCTGAGGGCTGTATGTGTTTCAGGCCTCTTCTTGCTGCCTATTACTTTGTCCAAATCTTGCCTCCTTGTAAGAGTACCAGTCATATTTGTATTGACCCATGCTCATGATGCATTGTCACTGTGAGACTTCTCTGTAGAGACCTTATCCCCAAACAAGATCATGTTTTGAATGTTAGAACTCAGCATATGAATGCGGTGGCAGGTACAGTTCAGCCCATAGTACCTTCACCCCAAACTGTTGTCAACCTTCCAACCAGGCTCTTAGATGATCCTTCCTCTACTGAATTTCCTTCATGAAAATTTCTTTTCCCTTCTTGAATCCTTGGATCACTGAAAGCTCATTAAGGAATGTCCTGACTAGGCACAGATACTGTGTGTGCAGGGTCAGTGGCTCCTGTTTCATTTAAATTAATCAAAGGCAAAACTACCTTATTCACTCTTATTTGCTATAGTATTTTATAATCAGATATTGTGTAAATATTAACTAAATTAATGTACACCTGAGATAATTGTTACAAACTAACAGCTAGCATTAAAAGTGTTTCACTCTATGGAGCACAGGGCCTATTATGTATTTTAAGCATGTATTTTACCACTAAAATGTATCTTTACCCAAGACATGGGGAGCAGGATGATTTCAGATATCCTGTTTCAACCTTATGGGAGTTTTGATAGTGATTTCATTCTACGTACAAAGAAGTAGAGGCCCGTCAGAGCCATACGGTTTACTAGCAAACCAGGTGCTCTGGCTTCCCGGTTTGTATCTTAGTCACTCTGGAATCTCCATTTCTGTTTCCAAGAAGGATTTTAACAAGTATATAAAGTTAATTATTCCTACAGATTCAATAACACATCACACAGATTACCTTTAGCATTTCATTTACTTTTAGCTTCTAAAATAGCAACATGCTCTTTAATGGAAATCTGTAGTTTTTCTCCAGTGGGAAATCATACATCTAAAATTACTTTATATTTAATGTTCTGTTTATCAAATAATTACAATTACCCTCATAGTTTCCCACTGGGTTAAGATAAAAATTTTAAATGTAAGTTTACAAGTAAGTCCTTTTTAGTTATTCTGAAAGGTAAAAAGTAATATGTATCTCATGTGCCATTTCTAAAATATGAATTATGTCCATATGCACATACAAATATTTTAAACATCTTTCCTTTGATATTAACCAGTATCTTACCTGTGCAGAGGTCTCAGGTGGGGTGGACAAGGTACTTCCTTAAGGGAACCCAGAATGTAACCAATAAGTTATAATTTAAGCTATCAGAAAGAGTTGGAAGACAGAATTAGAAACATTGTCTCTAGTAGAAATATACTATCATAAAACAGAATATGAAAAAGTTTTATGTTTGATTTGACTCTTAGTCATGCTCACACTTAAAACAGAAATAAATTGTTTAAGAATATTCAAAATGATTGAATTTCAAATTATACTTTTCAAAAAATGAGATTAAGTTGATTTGGGCAAGCTTGTCTGCCTAAAAGTTAAAAGATATTAATAACTAGAACATGGACATAAATGGGCGTAATAGGAAATGTCAGGGAATGTGGGTCAATATCTTCCCTAAGTAATAAGCGGCGTGTTGTTTTCAGCGATTGCAACAGCAACAGGAACTCCATCGCCTCCTTCACGAGTGTCTGCAGCAGCCAGTGCAGCTCATACTTCCACAGTGACGAGATGGACTCAGGTGCGTCTGGTGGCGGCACCAGCACCTTGGTGTTGCTGTCATGGAAGATAACCTTGGGGGAGTGTTTCTCTGAGCTGTGTGCACTCTCACCATTTATCATTTTTCATGGGCACACAAGCTACCTTTCAGTTAATGTGCTTAAGTCCACTTCTCAACCTTGTAAGGGTCGAGTCGCCACGAAGGAAGACCCCAAGAGTCGGTCTCTCATGCAAATCACAAAGGGAAAGTTTTATTATCTATGTATACGTAGGGTGGTCTGCACTCGCAGGAGCAGTGCACCGTCAGTGTAGCAGGCATAGTTTTTAAAGGCAAAAACCACAAAATGGGGAGGGAGCAAGCAAGTTACAGAAGCAAATCACATTGGTTAGTGTAGGTTGGCCTTTACAATAATTGGTGGATTACAATACTGGATGACCAGATGGAGTAAGTCTGGGGGTAGCTGGGGGGACTAACCTTGTGGTTGTCATATTCTGGGAATGTTTTTAAGAAATCGGGCACTGTGTCCTGGGACATCCTGTTGTTATGGCTTTCAGTAGTGAGGCCTTGGGTTTGGGAATTTATGTCTCTTGCATGAATTTAAACAAGGGCAGGGCCAAGGGCAACTTCTTGGCTAACTCAGTGGTTTTAGTTGCTTTCCAAGTAACAGGACCCCATCTGAGGTTTTTATGTCCTTTTAATTGAAACACATTTTATCTATTTATTTCTGTATGTGATCTTAAAATTATTTGGGCTTTACAACCTCAATTATAAAGAGAATGAATTAAAAAGAAAGGAGAGCAGATTTTTAATCTTTATGTGTTTAAGGATCTTTCTGTGATACTGTGAAGAATTATAAGTATCAAGGAAATAAAGTTTGTTAAACACATTCAGCCCTGTGAAGCTTCAAACTACGGATTTTTTAAAGACAGAGGAATAGAAATCCTTTTGTCAATCAACTAACTCAAAGGATGGTTGTGAATATAAACTATTTTGCAGTCCTTGGAAAATTGAAAAGCATGGCTCAGCAGAGCAAGCCTTATAGATAGAAAAGGAAGCAGGAGAAAGCACTGATAATCTACAAAGCTTACAAACATCTTACATTTGCATGTAAGATGCAAAAATATTCTTTCATGCAGTAAAAGCAAATATGATGTGTAAAATGTACAGTGTATTTTAGTTGCCCAGCCATTAGGGAAGCCGACCTTTGGAAGGATCTTTAGCGTGGAGTAGCCATGTCTGTGCCCTGTTCCGCTTTCAGCCTCAGAGGCCCTGTTCACCCTTCTGGAATTCTTAATCTGAACATCAAAATTAATGTAGAGTAAGGGCTTATGTTGATTTTATTTAACATGAAACTGTTTTGAGATGTTAACTGTACCATGAAGGAAATGATCTTTATTGCTTGTTTTACATGTAGGCGATGAACTTCCCCTGAGCGTTCGCATCTCCCATGAGAAACAGGACAAGATTCATAGTTGCCTTGAGCACCTTTTCAGCCAGGTATGTTGGGGAAGTTGTGAGTCTTTGCTTGACAAACTAAACAGCCAGGAATTACTTTTTCAGACACAGCCGAAGGGCTTGAAGACAGAATGGAGAGACCTCATGCCATGGCTTCAGCCCCTTGTGTTTAAAAGCAGAGTAGAAATTCCTAGGTCAATCAGCCAAATGATTGCTGTGAACATCAACAATTTTACAGTGCTTGGAAAATTAAAATGCGTCATACACGAAGAGACAGTTTTCTTTATTATTTTGGTTTATTTTTGAAGGGACTTTCAGAATACTTTATGACCTTTCTTGCTCTACATTGTTCCTAATTTCAATACCAACTTTTTTTTTTTTTAATTTAGTACAGGGTCTACAGGATCTCACTATGTAAATCGGACTCATAGTGATCCTCCTGTTTTCAGCCTCCTAAGAACTGGGATTACAGGTGTGCACCACCTCACCCAGTCTCAATCCCATCTAGGTGCACCCCGAGGGTGGGGCCGGCATGCATGCTGGGGATTGAACCCTGACCTCTGCATGCTGGGGATTGAACCCTGGACTCTGCACTCTGTCTAAGCAATGCTTTAGTTTGCTGAGCAATTTGGTCGACCCTTATTGTTCCTAATTTCAAAAAGCACAAGATTGCCTTCATGTTCCTTTTGGTATTTTGCATATTAAAAAAAAATCAATGGTGTTTGTAGTGTAGAAATATTCAGCCACTTTGGAAAGAATTTTAGTAAGCATTAACTTTTTTGAAATAGCTCCTGGTCTTCTTTTTGTCAAGTGAACTGATTTTTTGTATTAATATATGGTAAGATAATAAGGAATGTCCTTGCAAAAGACAGGTAGGTGGATAAGTTTATTATAATGTTTTATTTAAATAGAGATTTCATAAAAATCATAGAGTTTCAAGAATAATTATTTCTTTAAGAAAAGTTTATTTGATGCGATTTACTTTTATATATATTATATATTTTTTGAAGTTTAAACAAAATAACTTTTACTATAATATAAAACACCTTCTGCTTAAAGTACAAGACTTCTCTTTGCATTTTTGATGTTGCTTATTAATCAGTGTTTAAAATTCAATTGCAATCAATTGAGCTTGTTTTAAAAAAATCTCACTCAATAAATTTTTAATCTTACAAAGTGTAATAGAGAAAAAAGTAGTCTCCACTCACTGCCCATATTTACAAGTTATTATGCAAAGTAATGAATATATATTATATACTATGAGAGGTATGTAATTCTCAGAAATCTGCTATTGATAGGTGGACTCAATTACTAACCTCCTGAAAGGCCAAGCTGTTGCAAGAGCCTTTGAGCAAACCAAGTGTCTCACACCAGGTCGAGGATTACAAGGTAAGGTCTGAAGGTATCTATGAAAGCAACCATAGGTAAGATAGTCATGAAGCCAAATTATCAAATAAGAAAAAGATTCAGATTTTTCATATTTCAGAACTTACTATCATTTCTGTATTAATCATCTTTGAATATGTTAAAAAAAATAGCACCTGGGTGATATGGCGCATACCTGTAATTCCAGCTGCTTGGGAGGTTACGGCAGGAGAATTACGAGTTTGAGACCACTCTGTGCAACTGAGTGTGAAACTCTGCCTCAAAATGAAATTAAAAAGATTTTAAAAAAAGGTTGAGGATGCAGCTCAATGCTAGAGAGCCTGCCTAGTGCATGGTATGCCCAGCACCCAATCTCTAGCACTACAGTACAAAAAAGTATAGTTTTTTTTTTATTGTATATCACTATGAATCTTTTAGATCACTATGAATCTGTTAGTTTTGAGAGTTAAAATGTCTAGCATATGAGTGGAGCAGGTGAAGCATATGTGTCAGTTAAAGTCGCACAAGTGCTAAGTTGCTTTTACTGAAAGCAAGCATAAAGTCTACTTGGTTAGATCCCAGAGTGAGGCAAGAAACTACAATGTATGAAGGTCCTGACAGAACAGCCAAATGGAACAAGATACATAGCTAGCACTTTTTGGTATCTAGTTTAGGATATTAGAGTGTTCCCTTAAATTTTCTTCTTTGTTGAAATATTTCATATTGAGTTGACTTTTTAAATTTAACAAATGTGCTATGGTTTAGCTAAAAAAAATTCCATCATGATACTATTTTAGAGTGACAGTAATCAGAGGAAGAAAATTTTGAAATTTATGGACTTAACTGTTTGGAAATTAGTTGATAATAAAGACAGATTTTTCTGTTTTTATTCAGAATTTCAACAAGAATTGGAGCCAAAGCTGAGTTGTCCAAAAAGGTTAAGGCTTCACATCAAGCAGGATCCTTGGAATCTTCCTAGCAGTGTCCGAGCTCTTTCTCAGAACATCAGAAAATTTGTTGAAGGTCAGTATGAACAGCAAGGAACATTGTATGATATCTGCTATAATCATTTTAAGACCCATTAATACCAAAAGTCTGGTAATGCCTCATTACTTTTTGCAGTGTTTCATTTTTTGAGGAAATAAAAGAAATGAAATGGGTGAGGGAGTAAGAGAGAAAGAAGATGTAGTAGTCTAGAACCTTGTGTTCCAAAGACCAGAACATTTTAGAGAATATCATGAAGAATTTTCTCAATGAAAACAATAAGGAGTATGTTTAGGAAAGCAAATGGACCATCGATGGCCTTTAATATTTTTCTGGTATAGAAAAGTTGTAAAGGATTCTCGGGAGACATGAAGCCTCATGTTATGAAAAGTCTTAAAAAATCAATCGTGAATGTGTATGAGAATGAAAATAATTACATAGTTTTCATTGTTAGCTTTTAAGTTTCCCTTTCAGAAGTGTTTGTCTCAGCTGATTATCATCACAACCTTGTTTACATGACATCCTATAATTGGTGCAGCCCGATAATTGGAGAAGTATGATATGGAGCAATCCTGCCGGATCTGATTGCTTGTTATTTGGGGTCAGAGTTATTCCACAGCAAATTCTGAGAGTATCCAGTGATTATAGTGGAAAATATGAAATGAGAAACTTGTCTAATTTAAGAATTGCTAGTTTAGCAATTCTCTCCTAAGTGACTAGGCTAGCAGTCAGCCATGTCTGGAGAAATTTTGGTTGTCATGGTTCTGAGTGAGCCTCTGGCTCCTACTAAGTAAAAGCCAGGTATGCTCTAAACATTCTGTACTATACTGAGAATTATTTGACCCCAAATGTTGATATTATTAAGATTAGAAATAGTAATGATAAATATTATGTCATTGTTTCCACTTTTTATTCCTTAGTCATTTGTATGTTACTTGGGTACTTGGTTAACTTGAGTAACTACATTTTTGGGCAGTTTAGAGATTATATGCTATACTAATAAAAGATAATTCCTTATATCTGATGGAGTCTGTATTAGTCACTTAAATTCTTTATCCTCAGCTTCTTTATTTATTAAATAGGGATGATTCAAATGTTCTGTGATTACTAAGTGTTCAGTGTAAAAATCTCCTCAAATATACTAACCCATATATTGTTTGAGATTGGTAGAAAGATTGTATAAATACGGAGTACTTTCCCAAACAAATCACAGCAGTTGTGCTATTTAGTGAAATCCTTTTCTTCTTTACAACTGAGTTTCTTGGCTATCTTCTCACTTTATGATCTAATATCATGGTTAACTGTTGAGCTTTGTAACATTACTTTAGTAAAAATTCTGAATTGACTGCCCCCAAAATAACAAATATCAAAACTGATAAATTATTATTTTTTTAATTTTTATTTATTTGTGTGTGTGTGTGTGTGTGTGTGTATGTGTGTGTGTGGCCAGCTCAGCCCACCAGGGGGAGGGGCTGGCTGGCATGTGGTGCTGGGGGATTGAACCGTGGTCCCTGTGCTTTGCCTAGCTTGTTCTAGGTAGGTGCTTTAGACCACTGAGCCATCTCACCAGCCCCTGATTAAATTATTTTTAAAAGATAAGTACTTTAGAGAATTGATGCATATACCTTACAAAGGAAAATGGCATCTATTCTTGAATAGATGCTAGTAACATAATGCTCCTAGAAGCTGTGAATACCAAAGCTATTCTTATTGTCACATGTTTTTCTTGTTGATGATGAAATACATTAATCTATTTGTTTTTAGAGTAAATGTAGTATTGATTTGGAATGGGCAAAGTCTTAAACTTTTTTATTACATGTGAAAAACTTTAACATATCAACTTCTAATTCAAGATAGAAAACTTCATATTTTAAAAAGTATTTATTTTGAGACCCGTGCATTTTCAGTTCTGATCCTGATTTTGTGCTCTTTGGGCCTCACGCTGGGTTAGCAGCTGTCCACAATAACTGTCCATTTATATCAGCTGTGGATATTGGTGTCTCTCTAGCTCATCGCAGCCCAGTCGTTGGTTGAGTGTGGTGAGAATATAATTAGTGGAGACATTTTTACTTGGGCAACCTACCATCACCATCAGGAAATACATTTTCAGTTCTTTGCTCATTATAAAAGTTACAGTCTTTTCAAAAATCTCTTTTTTCAGCTACAAAGTTTTTCACTTTTTTTCTGTATTTGTTCTAGTGTTCTAAGACAGATCTCTTCATTTTCTGCCTTTTTTTTTTAATAACTTTTTTGTATTGGGAATTGAACTCAGGACCCTGCACTTGCCAGGCAGGCACTTGTCCCACTGAAATATATCCCTGGCCCTCTGCCTTTTTCATAATACTGGAATGATAGTAATGGCTCTCTAGAAAATCTTCTTGTCTTCATCTCTTCTGATTAATATATGCCTTTAATAGATTCATCAACTTAAAATATGTTCCTGATTTCAGTGCTCTTCCCCACAGCCTTGTAGCAATTTTCTGTTAGTAAATCTGGACCCAATCTAATTTTAGAAGAAATATTCAGTGTGGTTTTCTACTTGTGTCCCGGTCTCAGCCTCTTGATAATATCATAAAATCAGTGCCACATTGTTTAACATTTGTTGTGTATTCTCCAATGTATTCCTTTGCTGACACTGTGTCCCACTCTTGCCTGAAGTACCACCTCTGTAATGCTCTAAATCTTTAAAGTTCTATGAAATACTTTCTAGTCTTACTTAGAGTTCTGTCCCAGTGTTAGGTAGATGTATATGAAAATAGCAACACCTTTCAAAGATTTTAATATATATTCCCATTTATTTTTCCTAGTAGTGCCTGTAAGTTCAGTAAGATCGATGTTATCATCATTTATGAATGAGCTAGTTGAGACTCAAAAGTAATTTCACAAATTTTCTAAAGCCACAAAGTTATAATAAAGCAGCTCAGTTTTTTCTTTCTTCATCATATTTTCCAGCTTTTGTTCTTAAAGCCTCACTTGTAAAATTTAATTCCCTTTGCAGTATTTCCAGCATTTCTTATCAGTTAAGTCTGTCCCTCTCTTTTGTGAATCTTTCTAGAATAGGATGTATCTTAAACTTTCTTTGTTTCTCATAATATCCTTAATGTTGGGCTCATAGAAGGAAATTTGTACATTTGTAAATTTACCCATTGAACATGAACTGTTTACCATTTATTAGCTAATAGATCTCTAGCTCATTGAACAGAGCAATAAGTGAAAGTTAATATACACTGGTTAAATATCTGTGAGTAGCTCTGTGTGGGATGCTGTTCATTGACAATAGCTAGAGAAGCTGAGAGAATACTACGCAGGCTGAAATGTCTAAGGAGGACCTACAAGGTTAGTAACATTTCAATGGTGTTTCATTATCTTATTCAATTTATAGTGTAAATGCCTGAAAGGATAAATGAAATCTGAAATGTACAGTAGATACTGTTAAAGGGAAAGAATCTGTCCAAAATGAAGAAATGGACAATATTTTAGGGTTTAGATAGTGGGTAGAATTTATATAAACAGGTAAGAGTAGAATGTCAATAGATAAGATTTTTATTATCTGATATCCTAATATCAGTTATTTTTATTACCAAGCTACAACAACTGTGATGCTGCTCAGAGGAAGAGTGAAAAAACAACTGAATTGTTTTTTTTTTTCTTTGCAGAGGTCAAGTGTAGAACACTTCTGGCTCTTCTTGAATATTCAGGTAACATTTTTGCAATATTTTTACTATTTCAAAGCAATTATAGCCTCAGATCGTAAAGTCTACTAATATGAAAGCAATGCCTTCAACTATTTACAAAAATAAATGAGGATGT